AGCAGGAAGTAAACTTATTAACAAAACATAACTGTGAAACTTACGTTTGTAGCTGAACTTGGTGACTACGACCTTGCCGAGCACAGTCCTGAACTTGTGTCTGAGTTCAGGTTTGTGCCCGTTCAGACAGAAGAGATGGAGCTGGCTGTTTTTGAGAAATGGAAGGAATGCAGGTACCGTCACATCACCGCAAGAGCGATTTCCTATTTGTTTTCTTCTGTTTCTCTGCTTGGTATAGAATTCATTGTATATTCATAATCATCTTAAAATTTTTTGTTTTTTAAATTTCAGAGGTCAGACACCAGCACAAGCTGAAACCAATTATCTGAATAAAGCCAAGTGGCTAGAAATGTATGGGGTTGATATGCATGTGGTCAAGGTAAGCACTGTGTGGTGATACTTCTTAAAAGCGTTATTCCTTCAAGACTCAAGGTGGTTATGGATTCTTTCAGTGTGTGTGGGGGGGTGGAGTTTGCAGGGGCTAACACCAGGTGCTTTGGTTGAGTGGTTATGAAGATCGAGGGTAAATACTGAATGATGGGAGTCTCACACAGAAATTCCTTATAAGAGAGAGGAGAAACAGCCAAACTCTCCAAAAAGGTATGTCTGTGGTTTTAAGCTGTTGCTGTTGTGGTTTTTTTTTTTTTTTTTAAGTTTTTAACCCACTTTTTATTCTTTCACTTCATATTCATTTCATCTTTTATCACGTAAGCTGTGTAGGCTCTGTAAAAATGAAAATAATTTAGAAAGTAAAGTTTAAAATTTGTAGCTTGAGAGGACTTTGATAAGCTGTAGTCTAGTACAGCTTATGTAGTGATTTGTTATTTTTAGTTTAAGAAGCTAAATTTTCCCAGAAAGGCAGTCTTTTTCAAAATCTGTGATTTAAATGGTGACTAGAATTTGGGAAGACTCTGGAAAGCTTTCTTTGTCGTGGCAGTTAATCACTATGTATTTCCAATGAAGACATACCTTAAAACTATAGTGTCTATTAATATGCATGAAGTTTCCTGAGAATGTGATTTTGGGTTCTTTAATTGTTGAAAACACCTTTCATATTAATATTAGTCTGTATGTAATTAATATAATTCAATATGAAAAGAAAATTAAGGAGTTGTGTGAAAATGTGAAACCTGTTTTATTCAGATAAAGCTAACACATGTTGCTCCCCTAAAATTAGGCCAGAGATGGGAATGACTACAGTTTGGGACTGACCCCAACAGGAGTCCTTGTTTTTGAAGGAGAGACCAAAATTGGCTTATTTTTTTGGTAAGCAGAGCTAATGTCAAAGATAATTATTGTTGTTTTATTTTTTAATGAATAGAAACACTTATATGAAGTTAGTACAGAAAGCAGAATTTGGAAATAGTTCTGGCAAGCTTGGAAGTGAACTGCAGCTATCTCCTGTCATCCTCCTGTTCGTCTTTAGTCTTCTCCCCCAAGGCAATTTTTAAAAGTCTTCTAGTTGTGTTTTCCATTAGTTTCAAGGTATGTCAAAATACATGCCTTAACATAAATAGCATCTAGTTCTGTGTATTAAGTGTTCACATGGCCACTCCCTCCGTCCCGCAGTTATGTTGCTGTCTTGAGTGTGCTTTGTTTCACGGTCTTTTACTCCCCACCCACCCCTTTTGTGTGAAAGAGATAGTAATACTTTTACCCTCCTTTGGAGCTGTGCTTCTCTTCCTGGGTCCCAGCTTCTGTCATCCATACTTCTAACTTATATTTCATGTTACTTTTACATCAAGGGTAGATATCACTTGGATTTCATAACCATAATTAAGTTCTTCAGGTTTTGTCTGGTTGTTTCTAAAAGCTGAAAATCAGGAAATAGTGTTTATATTATTATGTGTTTGTCAGAACCAGTGTGGAGCTAAGTAGTACATGGGCTGAAGTTGGCTGTTGGATATCAGTTGTTTACTTCTTCATAGCACGCCAGGACCCTTAGCTCAGAGCCCGCCAGTGCCAAACTCAAATTCTTACACATTCAGTTGCTTTAAATACAGCCCAACAAGTATAGTTTTTGCCATTCAGAGCATGCCTGGTTTTGCATATATCACTGCAAACTGCACTTCACATCTGCTAACCGTGGATAAGCAAATCCTGTAGCTCTAAGAGACCCCAGACCTCTCCTGCTCTTCGGAGCTCTGTAGCTCAGAGACCTGTCCCCCTGCCACTGAATGCCAAGCCCTAGATGTGGAATTCCCCTGCCTCTCTGATCTTCCTCCCTCCTGGGAGTTCCCTTACCCTCCTCCCCTCCCAGGTGGGAGCCCTGGGCCGCTTCCTCTGGAAGGTCTGCGGCCTGAAGGGACCCCTCAGCAGAGCCCCGCTGTTCAGTGCTGCTGTCTCCTGCTCCTGTCTTTTTCTTCATCGGCCCTGAAATCCTTGAACTCACAACTGGGATTACGTTTCCTTTGTTTTACTGGAGCTCTTGGCTCTCGTGTACCCCACACATCTCTTTAAATGACCTGCCTTTGTCTCCTTGAGTTTTTTCAAATCCTCCAGGGTTGCCTGAGCTGACTCTTTTCCAGTTGGAACTGTTGACACTTCCAGGCTGCTCTCCAGGTTTTATCTTGGGACTTTGTTTTCCCATTTTCTCAGTTATGAATCTGTGTCATCTTCCATATTTTCTTGTCTTTCCTTCTGTTTTTCTGATACATCCTCAAGTAATGCCTAAGAAAAGGGTGTACGAGGTAAATTATTTGAATCCTTTGATGCCTTAAAGTGGTTTATTCTTCTCTTATCCTTTCTTGATAACTGGGCTGAGAATGGAATTTTAGGGTGAAAATTATTTTCCCTCAGAAAGGTGAAGATAGTATTTCATTTTTTTTTTTTTTGTACCTCTTAGAGATTCCCTGGGACACTTGAGTGTAACATCTTTATACTTGTCCCTTGGGTGAGAAAGCTGTGTTATGTATTTCTCTAGTCCTTAAGTATGAACTCTCTGAGCCTTCCAGCTTGCCCACTGGGCAGGTGGAGCATCCTTCATGGCCAGAGAACGCTCCAGGTAGAGAGATAAGGAAAGCATCATTTGTACTACCTCATAAGAATCAATTGAATTAATACATGTAAAACACTTAGTAGAGTACCCGACACTTACTAGGCACTGTGTAAGTATTTGTTACACCTAAACGCTAGAGTCTCCCGTCCTGTTTTACTTCTTTATTTACTTACTGTTTTAGTACAGCTCTTGTAAACAAGTTCTGTTTTACAATTCTATTTTAGATAAGTTATATTTAAAAATTAGAGAGAGTGAGAGTCATGTTGTTTTCACATTCATGGTTCATAGAAGTACAGAGATAAGTTTGGTAGGTTGCTTAGGATTTTTGTACAGGTGGGAGATGGAAAGTGGGCCATAAAGTGAAGTTTAAAAAATTTTTTATTTCTTAGAGATGTCTTTAATCAAAATTGCTATAGAAAATAGAGTTGAAGGTCAGTAATTTTTTTTTTTATGCCTTTTAAAAAGCTTTATAGTTTTTCCTATATCCAGTTCCTGTGCTGCTACTGTGACATTAGGCTTGGAGAATCTCTTCCACCGTAGTTAGGGGCCTGTGAATATATATGATATATAGATATATCTTCGTTTTCTTTTTTCCTTAACATTTTTAATGTCTTACATATGTGCAGCAGAAATTTTGCCAAAGGTATTGCTTTTGAAAATTTTTTTTCTGTTACCTTAACTATTTTTTAGATTGGAGACTTTTTTGCTAGGCAGTGCAGGTTATGTTTACCCTCTTATCCAGTTTTCAATTCAGAAGTTAGATGATTAATATGCTTGAAGTAACAACAAAGTTTTTAAATTCAGAGAACATTGATTGAAATCCGGCTGTTGCTCTCATATTGTTATAGGCCCAAGATAACCAGATTGGATTTTAAGAAGAATAAACTAACCTTGGTGGTTGTAGAAGATGATGACCAGGTAGGAATTGTATTGTATTACATATTTAACAGTGACTGTGTTATGTGGTAACTTAAGGCTCTAAAAGTGGGGAGCACATGTTGCTTTATAGAGCCATAGAACAGAAACTTAGTGTAATTAATAACTTAATTAAGTAATTTCCTGATTTAGGTCATACCATCCTAAAACTATAGTTTTCTGTCTTTAAGATTAAAGATTAAATAAAAGACTTCTCTTGTTCCTTTGTTGACAGTATATCTCAAATATATAAAAATTTATATTTAAATGGCTTTAGTCCCTGATCAAAAAGATTAATCAAAAAGATCTACCTAATAATATTCTTTAATAAAGCCTTCTGTACTAAGGATTATCTATTTTTCAGTTAAATCTAGTTCCTAATTGATAAACTCATAACAATACGAATGCATCTCAGATGAATTATGCTAAGTGTAAGAAGCCCGACTCAGGACTTCCCTCGTGACCCGGTGGTTAAGAATCCTCCTGCCGGGGCTTCCCTGGTGGCACAGTGGTTCAGAATCCACCTGCCAATGCAGGGGACACTGGTCCGAGAAGACCCCACATGCCGCAGAGCAACTAAGCCCATTCGCCACAACTACTGAGCCTGCACTCTAGAGCCTGCGAGCCACAACTACTGAGCCTGTGTGCCACAACTATTGAAGCCTGCGTGCCTAGAGCCGGTGTTCTGCAACAAGAGAAGCCACTGCACCACAAGGAAGAGTAGCCCCCGCTCGCTGCAACTAGAGAAAGTCCACACACAGCAACAAAGACCCAACGTAGCCAAAAATAAATAAATGAAATAAATTTATAATAAAAAAAGAAGCCCAACTCAAGAGATTATGACTGTATGATTCCATTTATATGACAGTCTAGGAAAGGCAAACCTGTAGGAATAGAGAATAGCTCACTGATCCTTTGAGACTGGCGGTGTGAAGATGCTTCACTACAAAGGACCAGCACAGGGAATTTGGCGGGGGTGAGAGAACTATTCTGTATCCGGATTTTGGTGGTGGTTGCATGATCCTCTGCATTTTCAAAACCCACAGAATTGTGAGTAAATTTTTAAAAAGTAATTTTACTGCATGCAAAGTAATAACTTTGAAATATACGTATAGATGGATACAAATAAAAGGAAATAGGGGAAATGTTAAAAAGATTGGTTTGCACAGTGAAGTGTGAGTAGTGCCACTTAGCAGAACCTTAAAAAAGAAGATCCTGAAAATTAGATGAAGCAGTTACAAGTTTTCTGACAGTTTTAAGTTGTATTACTGAGATGCATGCAAAGGATTGCCCTATCACACAGGTTGGAAGAAAGTCAGAGACAATAAGAGAGGATTTTAAAAAGAAATTTCTTGATGGCACAGATGATCACTATGTTATCAACAAATGAGTTGAAAATGATTCAGAAGAGGCAGATTCCACATCTAAAAACAATCTATTTTACAAATATTTTCCTTTTTATGTAAGCACAGATGTGATTAAATGATATTTGTATCTAAATCTAAAGGAATCGTTCAAGAAGAATAAAATACAGTTCTGTGTGATAAGAAAATATGGTCATAATTTAATGGGTGATACCTGTTCTTACTGGGTCATGAAATAATCGTGTATCTCACAATTGATAGCATTTTAGATTTGATCTAATATAGTATTAGCTTCTTGGATATCTTTTTGAAGATACATATAAGCAAATGTGTATATCAGTTCTTTTTTTAAAATTTATTTAATTAATTAATTTATTTTTCGCTGCATTTGGTCTTTGTTGCTGCACGCGGGCTTTCTCTATTTGCGGTGAGCGGGGGCTACTCTTCATTGTGGTACGCGGGCTTCTCATTGCGGTGGCTTCTCTTGCTGCAGAGCACAGGCTCCAGGCACGCAGGCTCAGTAGTTTTGGTGCACGGGCTTAGTTGCTCCACAGCATGTGGGATCTTCCTGGACCAGGGCTCAAACCCATGTCCCCTGCATTGGCAGGTGGATTCTTAACCACTGCATCACCAGGGAAGTCCCCCTCAATTCTTTTTTATGCAGAGGTTGCCATACTTATATACAGGGTTCTCTACTTATCCTTTTTAAACTTTATGTTCTAACTTGGAATGTTTTCTACGTCAGTACCTAAAGTTGTTCTTCATTCTCATAAAAGCAAACTAAAATGCATAGTATTCTAGTGTATGGTGTACTCTAATTTATTTAATCAGTTCTCAATTAATTGACATTCACTCTTTTATTCACTATATATGATTAATTTGTACACTGGCAAGTATCTGTAGGATAATTTCCTAGAAGGGGATTTGTGGGGTTGAATGGTTATGAGCATTTGTCTTGGATATAGAGAGGTCCTACCAGCTTGCATAGTTTTTAGTGTACAGGCCTATTTCCTGACAAGGAATTAATCACATTTGTATATGAAAGGTAAAAAATGGAATTTCATTGTAGGTTTACATTTTATTTCTGTTATTATGAGTGATATTGAACATCTCTTCATACATTTGAGTTACTTGAGTTCCTTTTTTCTAAACTGTCTATTCCTTTGCCCATTTTTCTTTTGGGTTATTGGCTGTTTTCTTATAGGTCTTGCCCTTTGTCACAGATATTATAAATATTTTATCTAATAGTTGTTTTTCTTTCAACAGTGCTTATTGTGGGTTTTGTCATGCACTTTAAGAAATTTTAAATAGGTGAATTTATTAATCTTTCATGGCTTCTGGGTTTTGTGTCATAGAAAGCTTTCCCTGTTTTGAGGTTATCTATTTTCTCATGTTTTTTTCTATGTGTAGTTTTTGTTGGTAAATTTCATTGAAGTATAACATTCATTCGGATAAGTGTAAAAATAAATGTACAGCTTGTGTTGAATTCTTATGTATACTTGTATGACCAGCACCAGGATGAGGAAACAGAATTGCAGCAGAATTAAATTTCTCCCGTGCTCCCCCCACCAGGTACAGTTCCCCAAGGGTAACCACTCTCCTGGCCTGGCTTTAAGACCAGAGATTAGTTTTTGCTTATATTTTGGACTTTATGTAAATGAAACCTGGCTGACTGTTCTCTTTGTGTCTTGCTTCTGTATTATTTCAGGGCTGTAGTTGTGAGCTTTCAGCCCTGCTGCAGCGGGTGGTTATAGT